TACCTGTTGGCTATTAACGTTTAACATGTTGAAGAAAACAATGTCAGTACATGATACATTTTCAATGATTGTTAGGTTTCTTATTTTGTTTTTAAGAAAGATTATTTATTGGCAGCAGTGTAGATAATCCTTTCAAGGAGGAGACAGTGGGCGTAGGCACACCACCTTGGAAACTCTGGCAATAGTTGTGGCAAGGGGAATGGCACACAGAATTAGGTTAGAGCAGAGATAGGTGGTGGAACAGATTGGAGGATGTGGAGGGGCTGCAGAATATATTTTGGAATGAAAGTAAGTAGGTTTACTTTTGGGGTCTGTTGAACTTAAGGTGCCTGAGGAAAATCTCTGCTGATGTTCAGCTGAAACAATAGAGTCATCTCAGCTGGGCGTGGTGGCTCACGCCTGTAATCCCAGCACTTTGGGAGGCTGAGACAGGCAGATCACGAGGTCAGGAATTCGAGACCAGCCTGGCTGACATGGTGAAACCCCATCTCTACTAAAAATACAAAAATTAGCCAGGCGCGGTGGCAGACATCTGTAATCCCAGCTACTCAGGAGACTGAAGCAGGATGATTGCTTGAACCCGGGAGGTGGAGGTTTCAGTGAGCCAAGATTGCGCCACTGCACTCCAGCCTGGGTGACAGAGCAAGACTCCGTCTTGGGTGGGGTGGAAGGGGAAGAGCCATCTGAAGTTTAGAACATACAGGTGAGTGAAATAGAGATCTGTACTGTGGAAGTGTGGGTATGTGCATTAACAGATGGCTGAGAATTTGCACTGAGCTTATCATTCACCTGCTACACTGGTAAAGAAACAAATGAAAATGTGATATACTTGTGTACAGTTATGCATTCCTGGCAGGGATGTAAATTTGTACAACCTTCAGGAAAACAACTTGGCAATATTTGTCACGAGCCTTACAGATACTTGTACCCTTTGATCCAGTGATTTCACTTATTGGAGTCAATGCTGACTTTATGATCCAAATACAGATACTGTTATACATAGAGCTGCTCACCACAACATAACATTCAATTGAAAAAAGCAAAACCTTCCAACAGGCTCACTTAGTGACAGGAAAATGATTAAATAATGATGTGTTCATATGCTAGAATATTATACAGCTATTAAAAAATCATGTTGACTGAGATTCCTAGTGTGAATTGCCGTAAGGGAGAAAAACCCAAGGATACACAACTATACACAGAATATCAGTTTGACTCTGCTAAAAAATAAGATGGTGTAAGGATTAGAAGACAAGATAGTAAAATGTAGTATTATTTTTTCTGTTTGGGAAATGGAGGCCTGGGTTGGTAATTTGTTGAAGTCTGGTAACTGAGTTTGAATTAGGACTATATAATAGATTTTTGGCTTACTTAAAATTTCTTTTCCTAATGCATCTGCTAATATTTAGTTACTAACACAGTAATAATCTTTGACTCACAGACCAAAATTCAAATGGCAGTTTCTATTTTCTATTACAAATCTTGAACACGTCGCCTTTTGTTTTCGTTTTTGAGACATCATCTCACTCTTCCACTGAGGTTGGAGTGCAGTGGTGCAGTCATAGCTCACTGCAGCCTCCAACATCTGGGCTCAAGCAATATTCCTGCTTTGGCCTCCTAAGTACCTAGGGCTACAGCATGTGCTACTATGTCTGGCTAATTTCTGTATTTTTTTGGTAAAGATGGGATCTCAAACACAAAAAATTCAAAAATTCGTATTTTTTGTGTTGAGTTCATTGCCCAGGCTGGTCTTGAACTCCTGGCCTCAGTTGATGCTCCAGCCTCAGTCTCTCTCTCTCTCTCTCTCTCTTTTATTTTTTTCTGAGATGGAGTTTCACTCTTGCAAGGCTGGAGTGCAATGGTGTGATCTTGGCTCACTGCAACCTCCACCTACTGGGTTCAAGTGATTCTCCTGCCTCAGCTTCCAGAGTAGCTGGGATTACAGGAATGTGCCACATAACTTTAGTAGAGATGGGGCTAATTTTGTATTTTTTAGTAGAGATGGGGTTTCTCCATGTTGGTCAGGCTGGCCTTGAACTCCCCACTTCAGGTGATCTGCCTGCCTCAGCCTCCCAAAGTGCTGGGATTACAGGTATGAGCCTCCATTTTTTTGGTTAAAATGGATGCAGTCCACTGAAAGCCTAGAATCTCAAACCTCATTTTTGAGTTAATGTCATGTCATTGTACAATTCTGAATATGCCACCGGACTACTGAAGAGGTTTCCTTCTCCCTTGGCTTATTGACATCATCATCAACTTGCATTTAGAGGGACATGATTTTTATACAAGGGATTCCTTGGATATGTCAAAGAGAAGATTAGTACAATACACCATCACTGAGAGGGTAATCCATCAAAAATTCTAACTTCAGCTGCACAGCCAAGCAGCTGAAAGAAATCCATTGACCCTTGGAAGCACCCCTGATAGAGAGCTGCTGGGTGTGAAGGATGCATCCATAAGTCACCAGAATTGGATTGCAAATATCCTAGAGCTGGCGATCTCCTGGATCATGCTGCCATAACTGTCTTCAAGATGTTAATACTGAACAAGGCATGTTGTTTCAGGACTGCAGGAGGATCAATCTCTCTTCCCAAGCCCTCCCCACCCCTCACCCACACTCGTACACATGCACACAAGCACGTTTTGATACGCAGCTCAGTTCCGTTTCTCTTGCTGAGACTGACCTTGATAGAAAAACTATTTTGTTTTTATTTTTTATTATAGAAGGCAAGTTTTCTATTTACTATGTTGTAAAAGGCTACTGAAGAACTGATGAACTTCACTGTGATTATTAAGTGAGCCAAAATACTAAAGTTTAAATACATATTTACTTATACTATAGTGTAAGTAAGCCAAAAATCTGGTCCTAATTCAAACTCAGTTACTAAACTTCAATGAATCGGCAACCCATGCCTCAGTTTCCCAATATTTTCCAGGGTGGATCACTTCAGGACAGGAGTTTGAGACAACATGGTGGAATCCTGTCTCCACTAAAAATACAAAAATTAGCTGGGTGTGGTAGCGGGCGCCCGTAATATGGCCTGTGGGTAAAATTTACCATCATTTCAGGCTTTTAGGACCTTTTTGACACTCTAGGTCAAACTTGGGAATTTTCTTTTTTAGGAGTCCCAACTACTCAAGGCAGAATTCAGAAAACTCCCTTGCCCTGCCTTTGTAAGAATAGGGTGCAGGGATATGAACTGTGGGAGCTGACAACCAGTCACACCCCGATGGGACTCTGGTTCGTGAGTGAGGGATGGGGAGGCAGACACAATTTTCTCAACACAGATGGTTGTGGCAGTCTGAGGAGCTTAGATTTGAGGGTAGCAGGATGTTGGAGTCTTTCCTGGAACACCTCTCAGTCTGATTTGGGCATTTGTTCCTGGTGGGATAGCCTCTAAATCCAACTCTCTGGTCCTAAAGTGGGCATTGAAGAAAAAGCATCCAGCATCAGGTAGGAGAACATGACTTGATAAGCATCAAGAAAAGCTTCAACTAGTTTCAGTGTTGTATATGAATATTTCCAGCCTCTATATGGGACAGTTCTTTTTGGAAAGAAAGAAAAGTGACTATCCTTGCCTTCCAGTAGGCCTTCTGGTCAATGGCTTAGGTCAACATTATTCCATCAGTTTGGGAAACAACTCCTTTGACAGATGGGTCCCCCATCCATTTCTCCATGTATAAAGATATCTGTATATACTACCCAAAATTTAATCAGGAAATACTAAAATAAATACAATATTGAGCATGTTCATGTAATGGAATTCTATATAGCAGTAAAAATGGAAAAACAACTGTTTTACTAACCATGACGACTCTTACAAACATACATTTCAACAAAAGGAGCCAGACACAAACTCTACATACACTGCATGAACCCATTTATAGATAGCTAAGATGACAGGTAAAACCACACTATGGTGTGAACTCTCAGGATACTGATTACATTCGTAGAGGCATGAGCACAGAAGCCTCTGGGATGCTGATAATGTGGTATTTCTTAATTTGGGTGGTGGATACATCAGTGTGTCAGCTTGTGAGAATTGTCACACTAATGATTTGTGCACTTTTTGTATTTTTCACTTTGATAAAAAGTGTTTTTCCTTGATTTGCATGTTTTTTAAACTTTACATCTCTTATTAATGTTCAATCTGGTACATGACTTTTATTGTTTTACAAAGCTATCTCTTACATATTGTTAGACCTTGAGTTATCTTTTTTTATATTTAAAGAAAAATACCTGGCTGGACGCAGTGGCTCATACCTGTAATCCCAGAACTTGGGAGGCTGAAGTGGGTAGATCACTTCAGGTCAGGAGTTCGAGACCAGCCTGAATAACATGGTGAAACTCCATCTCCACTAAAAATACAAAAGTTAGCTGGGTGTGGTGGCGGGTGCCTGTAATTCCAGCTACTCAAGAGGCTGAGGCAGGAGAATCGCTTGACTCCGAGAGGCACAGGTTGCAGTGAGCTGAGATTGTGCTGCTGTACTGCAGCCTGGGTGACAGAGTGAGACTCCAGCTCAAAAAAAAAAAAAAGAAAAGAAAGAAAAAAGAAAAATACCAATACATGGGGAGTTCTAAGCACAGAAAAATAAACTAAGGCTTATTTTTCAATTTATTCAAATGAAACCAAAGATGGGCTTGCCGCGGTTAACTATACCAGAGTCTCTCTCAAAGGAAACATTTAACTCCAGTGTACGTTTAGGAAGCTGGTGCGCTCTCAGCATCTCAGTTAAGACTCTCCCAAGACTCTTTTCTCTGACTACACATGAGCCCCCAAACCATGACTAAAAAACCACAGCTTCATGGGCAGGGCCCTGTGCAGGACCCCTATTTCCAAATGAACAAGAAATGAAAGTGAGATAAAAAATTATTTTAAAGCTAAAAGTTTCACATTATTTAATGTAAGCTAGCTCTCAGGAGGAACGTAGTGATGAGAAAAAGGAAAGGAACGAAGACACCACGGAGATGCACATCAAACTGGAAGCAGACAAAGGCGGCCAGAACTATCTTATTTATTATAAAGATACACTGTGAAGAACAAACCTGACTGTATACTGAAGCCTGTAATGGTACATGCGAAAATGTACAGTACTATACATAAAAGTGCATTGTCACAACAGATTAACAAAACATTTTTTTTCTTTCCAGAACTGTAAAAGCATCCCCCTTTATTTTCACCTCAGAGGAGGGAATGAAATGGTGAGAGGCAGTACAGAGCACAATGCTGTCAGCAGCATGTGAGTGGGGACGGATGCAGAGGAATGGGAGGACACAGGGGTGAGAAAGGCACAATCACGTCTACAAGGAAAACGAGACAGTCTGAGGACCGACAGGGCTGCGAGATGGACACTACTGAGCACCTAGGCACAGGACAGTGGGGATGGAGAAGGTAGGGGAGAGGGCGGAAGCTTCAAATCACTGGAGTGGCAGCAGGAATTGGGAGGAGGATGTGGGGGTGGGGCACAGAGCTGGGCAACAGTACAAGAGCAAGGCTAAAACTCCTCTAAAATAGAAAGGCACTTTCACATGTACATACTACAGATGTACATTGACACAATTAGGTAACAGTCACAAGCAGGAAGCTACCGGTACTGCAATTGATCAAACCGACAGGAAAGGACAATACTGATTTAATTGTGTGGGCAGGAGCTACCCTTCAGTATGTAGGTAAACAGCAGTCTCTCCTGTAACACAGCCACTTACTCTACTTTAAATATCTATAATAACCATCACTACACACTGAACTTGGATGAATGCTCTAAAAGGGGCATTCACAAATGCACGGTTCATATATTTTCTTTTACTAGAGTTTCTAAGATAAGCATTATGGAACCCAGTACAGTTATTTAAACATACAAAATTCCCTACGCAATTTAAAGACATAGGTATCCATCTTGATTATACCACATAGATTTTTTTTTTTTTTTTTTTTTTAAGAAAGTATACCAGGGTGAGTGAAAGCTCAAATTCCAGTTTGCTTTATGGATCTGACAAAACTTTGCCGAAGGCACCCTGCACCAAGGTGACACTCCAGCCCAGCTGGAGCTTGTGTTCTCAGCTCAGGAGGTGGGTGGCAGGTGGTCTGGAGTAGGAAGCTCTATGTAGGCATGGGTAGCGCCTTCAGTTCTAAGTGGCTCTGTGTCTCAGGGTTTCTGTGGTGGGTAATGGAAAACAAGACTGAGTCCCAAGCACATTTCCTACACGCATGGCCTCTCACGGCTATGGTCAGGAATCAATGAACGTCATCCCAAGTCTGAATCCTCTAACCCCCTTCAAGAGACCCATGGGCTCTTTAACTTTGGAGTTCCAAGGCTGCTGAGATGAAGGTTTCTGTGTGTAGACTCCAGAGCTATGTCATTCCTAAAGGTTAAGGACACCACTACCAACCCACTCCCCTTTTCCTTTCTTTATTATAAATCCATTTTTTGCGGGGGAGGGGGTGAATGGCAAAAGTTAGAAAACCCTTAACTGATAGAATTTGATTCTTGAAGCTCTATATCCACTGATAACTGTTCACGGTCACTGCAAAAGATTGTGGGACTCTGTGATAAATTATTCTTTGGGTGGCTTGAGGGGCACCAAAGCCAGATTATGTTGTATGAAGATGTGCAAAGCTGTTGAATGGTGTTGACACTGAACATGAACATGGAGCTCTACAAAATGCTACTCGGCAGGTTCTAACAGTTCACATAACACCCATTAGAAAATGTGTACTAAGTACATTTCTCTGTATCCCAAAACCCACTCCCCAAACCCCAACCCAGTCCAAAAGGCTGACCTGGTGCATCTCCTTCAGTGAGTTCTGTGGATTGGATGTGAACACACAGTTCTATCAGCTGTGAATACATATTCTTGTGTAAGTGGAGTCAGGCAATCTTTGTAGAACCATCATTTACCCCCATCAAAATGATCCCCTCCCCAACTTGCACATGAAGCCTGATAAGCTCCTTGAAACTGGGGGAGGAACACCTCAAGGCCTCATTTTCCTTCTTCTCTCTCCTTTCCCTGCCGCTTCCCACCTCCCCTGAGTGCTGCCTCTGTGGCTATGAAGAAGGCTGTGTACCAGGTGAACCTTCTTGGCTGCAGGGGCTCTTAATGAGCTTTACTGAGCATGGCTCTGGATTCTTTGTGAAGTGGCCACCTTGTCTTATCTCTGGAATCTGAAGACATTTACTAAACCAAACAAGGAGAGGTGAGTCTTTACTGAGTCCTCACTCACTCTGAGGTTATATCCTTCACTTGGAATTGAAAAAAAAAAAGCCTCAAGGTGACAACAGGAGTATAGAGAAACAAGATGGAGACAGGTAAAGTGAGTGAGTGATGGGAGAGTATTAGGAGCTGTTTACTGAAAGAAGGCACAGCCTCTGAGGCTCTGCAGCAGCACAACCTCTGTAGCCAAGAGAGCAGAGTCCTGATGGGAAGCACAGAAAGGCAATCCTCATTTCATCATGGGTGGACGCACCAGAGAGAGTAGCTGTGGCAGAGGATGACCAGATAGAAGGATGAATAAATGAGAAGGCAGGCAGAAGATCTGAAAAGCTAAGGCTGGAGCTCATAAAAGACATTGAAAATGATAAATTCAAAGACACCTCTGCCCCTTTGATGCCCTTTGTTAACATCTTACTCTTCCATCAAACAAGGAATATGGTTTTTAAGAATTGTTACTATTTTAAAAAAGTGGGAGAATGGCCGGGCATGGTGGCTCACGCATGTAATCCCAGCACTTTGGGAGGCCGAGGCAGGTGGATCACCTGAGGTCAAGAGTTCAAGGCCAGCCTGGCCAACATGGTGAAACCCTGTCTCTAGCTGGGCATGGTGGCAGTACCTGTAATCCCAGCTACTCAGGAGGCTGAGACAGGAGAATTTCTTGAATCCAGGAGGCGGAGGTGGCAGTGAAATGAAATTGCACCACTGTACTCCAGCCTCGGGGACAGAGTGAGACTCTGCCTAAAAAAAACAGTGGGGGATTATTTAGGAAAGTTTAAACTTCCTAAGGAGGACTGTTTAAAAGGGACTGCTATTCAGAGCTCAGTCCTGGCTGGGTCATGGTGTTCAAACGTGCTGAAGGACCCTGAAAGCTCAGGAGAAATGGGAGGGTCTGGACAAGGTGCTGACCTGGGCAATTTTTTTCAAAATGGGTAAAAAGGATAGCTCTAAAAGTTCAGAGTTTTAAAAGTTGATCGTATCTAGAAATACATGGAAAAAAACCACTGTTCAATTCATTTGTGGAATTAGGTTATAGGCAAGCAACCAGCAGTGTGACTTTGAAAGGTAACAATATCTCATCACTTTAATCTCTTCCTGCAATAGAATGACTAGATTGGCAAACTGAGGTAGAGATCAAAGTAATGATCTGGTTTTTAGTACAGATCCTGATTCACTTCTCCTCAATGCAGTCATGCATGGGCTGAGGAAGTAAAATCTACACTGTGTAACTCTTAGGCGCGTGTGCAATTGGCTGCCAGTTTGAAGCAAAATCAAGAAGGAAATTAACGATGGGCCAGAGGGATCAGTTCTGGGAAATACATTTTTCTCAACAACAATAACAAAAATCTTTATCAGTAACTTCAATGACAGAGTAGATAAAATGCTCATAGGTGTACAGGTGACATCAGCTGCTGCTGGTAGGAGAATGGAATTCAAAGCAAATTTTCTTAAAATGGGGGAAAATACAGCATAAATATGGGCTTAAAAAATTGTGTGCTAGGATGCCAGAGAAAGAGGGTCCCTAACTGAGAGTTCAGTTGATTATGGGAGTTATATAGAGACCACGTACAAAAACAAAAAACGAAACAACAAGAGGGAAAAGAGAAAGAGAAAAAGAAGTCGTGGTTCTGAGGTACACAACTGGGTGAGAACCACCAGGTAATCCGGCTGAGAGCCCTGCGTGGCTCTTACGCAGAGCCAGGTTGGGGTTGGCTCAAAGGCAAATGGAGAGGACAGTTGGGATTTTAAATTTAGGATCATCAGGCCTTCGTAGCTTTTGTTTTTGAAGACACAGGGACTCACTATGCTGCCCAGCTGGACTCAAATGGCTAGGCTCAAAGCCGTCCTCCTGTGGAAACCACCTGAGTAGCTGGGCCTACAGGTGCACCACCACGCCCGGGACTTGGTGGTTCAGTTAAAAGAGAACACTGCATGAACCAAGACCTCAGGTACTTCTTGCTTTCATTTCCTCAGAGGAGAACACAGGGATTTAGGGGAGATAGAAACATTTTCTAGGCAGTTATTGAACAACAGATCTTTGGAGGAGTTTGTGGAGTAGTGTAACTAAAAGTCTTTAAAATCAAATCCTTTTAGTCATAAGTGTAGGGGACTTTGAAATCTCCGGGGCCTAATCATGTTAAAGGAGTGGCATTAATAGCTTTGGAGATGGTGTCTTCCTCTCCTTTCCCAGGTTAAGTTCAAGCAATACCAGCAGAGGTTCTACCCATTTCCACTGAGTCTTTAAGCTGGACCCGGGGAAATGACTGTTAGGAAAGAGGCAGGCATCCAACCCACTCAAGGTGTGGGCTGACAGTCCCGCTGGGATCATCCCATGCAGACAACTGCAAGTCTTCTGCATGAGCTAAATCCCGCTCCACATGGAATCGAAGGTGCTCACTGTCAGCTACCATACAATGCCATTATCACCTTTCAATCCTTACCCCAAGTGCCACAGACCAACAGTGGCTATCCTCCAATGAGGTGTGGAATTCGGGTTCTCCTGCCTTCAGGTCCCCACATTTCTGATTCACCTGGGCTACACTAAACCAGACGCACTGTACAATGTGGGGAGCGGTGTTGCCTTCATTACAAGTGGTGCAGCATTGGATTTTCAAGTAAGTCTAAGTGTTTCTATTGTCCTTAAAATGACATATGTCCAGTTATTTAAAAAAATTACAAAATACAAATGCCCGTGTTAATTTAGCTAGTCTCAGACATTACACTCGACAACATAGAAAAGCCAAAAGATCTCCAGTTATAAGCACAAAACTAAGGAACGTTAGGGATCAGTGACTTCTGTCACTAATTCATTTTCTTTTTTAAGTCACCTCCCTTCATGGCCTTGCTCAGCTGGTTTTTACATTGTGCAAGACTTGTCTGTTGGACCCTGGGAAGGTGGGGCAGGTCCTATGGTAGGATTTGTTTTTGGAAGAACAGCAGGTTTTGGCCGAAGGGCTGGAGGCTTCAGCTGCACGCCCATTCTGGGTGCCACCATAGGCTTGAAAGTACTCATTGTGTCACTGGAGGAGCTAGTGCTACGTCGAATCTGAGGCTCGGAGCTCCTGAGGGCAACATTGTGCAAAGGGCTGAGAGATTCCGTGGAAGTGGCAGGGGTGGGAGAGTTTTTAACTTGTTCCAGGGTATCCAGCACCACATCAGGGGCATGCTTTGCTGTGCTCTGTCTCTCCAGTTCTCGGAGTTCATTCAAAGCTGTATTCATCGTTTCTTCAATATCCTATTGAAGAATAATCAGAAAGACGGAAAGCATAGACTGATAATGAATATTAATGTATAGAAACCCAGACACTTAATTTCAAAGTAAACAGCCAAGCAGAGAGTACATTTTAACTACATAGTCTGCAGAATATGTAAACCTAATGCCACCTCACAAATTATTTTGATTCTTGATTCAGGAGACAGATACAATGGCTCATGGAGCCATGCATCAAACATGGGGCTTCCTAAGGCCGTAGGTAGCCTTCTAATGGTCTCTGACTTGCAGGCTGACTTAAAAATAAAATTTTTTTTTTTTAAGGCAGGGTCTCACTCTGTCAGCCAGGCAGAGTGCAGTGGTGTGAATAGGCTTACTGCAGCCTCAAACTCCTAGGCTCATGTGATCTTCCCACCTCAGCCTCTTGAGTAGCTGGGACCACAGGTGTGTGCTACCGCACCTGGGTAATTTTTAAACTTTTTGTAGAGACAGGGTCTTGCTAGTTGCCCAGGTTGGTCTTGAACTCTTGGGCTCAAGTAATCTTCCTGCCTCTGCCTCCTAAAGTGCTGGGATTATAGGTGTAAGCCACCACGACTGCATGCTGACTTATAGAATTCTATTTCAATTTATGATAAAAGTTTATGAAAACTTTTTCAACTTTTTTTTTCCCCTGAGACAGAATCTTGCTCTGTCACCCAGGCTAGAGTACAGTGGTGAAATCTCGGCCCACTGCAACCTCTGCTTCCCGGGTTCAAGCAATTCTCCTGCTTCAGCCTCCCAAGTAGTTGGGATTACAGGTGCCTGCCACCATGCCTGGCTAATTTTTGTATTTTTAGTAGAGACAGGGTTTCACCATGTTGGCCAGGCTGGTCTCGAACTCCTGACCTCATGATCTGCCCACCTTGGCCTCCCAAAGTGTTGGGAACAGGCATGAGTCACACCTGGCCACATTTCTGTTTTTATGATAAAAGCTTAAATTTAGATACTGCAATAATTTCTCTCAAGAAATAAATATAATAGGAATAAAACAATAGGCTTAATTTATTCATTCAACAAATTTCTGTGCACTTACTATACACTTGGCTAATTCCAAGAAGTTCTTGGAAATTCAGCTTAAGTCTTCCCCAATACAATTTTCCAGTGGATTTCAATGAAAGTGGTACTGTCTCATAAAGGGCATTTTTGTAATATGGTGTATGGTGTGATTTTTAATGTCACAGTAACAAGATTGCATTATCGGCAGTTGGTGGGCAGGGCCAGACATGTTAGGTATCTTGCAAGGGCCTTGGTGAGTTTACATGCAACGAATTTTCCTGCTCCTTGTTCAACTTTTGAATGTCCTCCAGACATTCATATAGATAAAAATTCTCTTCTTAATAACCTGAGTCTAGAACCTAACTCTTTTTCTAGCATATAAACACAAAATATTTTTGATGGCGTTAAATTTTTTAGGAATGTTATTCTTTGTTTTAGGAAAGTTATTTTTTGTTTTGATTGGAATAGTATGACCAAGGGTTGCTCACCATTTTGGAGAAATGCTATCACCATTGGATGCTCTTTTCATGGAATATGAGTTAACTCAATTAATACTCCTATATCAACATGTATTTTTAATTATTGCATTTATGGAAACTACCACATAGGCAAAAGCATGTCAATACTTAATTTGTCTTCTAGCTTAGTCAATAATTAACTGCAATACATTTAATTGTTTTAATATCAATTTATCTTTATTTTTATTTTATATTCTATTAGAGCTTTATATATTTTTTTCAAAATAAATATATTATCAATCAATTTATTTCAGATGAACAGGTGTGGTGGCACATGCCCAACTCCTCGCAGGGCTGAGGCAGGAGAATCACTTGAACCCAGGAGGCAGAGGTTGCAGTGAGCCAAGATGTCACCACTGCATGCCAGCCTGGGTGACAGTGTCTCAAAAAAAAAAAAAGGTCAATTTATTTCAGATATTAAAAGGGGGGTGGGGGAGAGTTACAATAAATTTGTTTCAAAAAGGTAGAGTGTGCCCCATTAATGAAAGGATAAACAAAATACGATATATTCATACAAAGGAATATCATTCAGCCTTAAAGAGGAAGTAAGTCCTATCACATGCTACAGCATGTGTAAACCTTGAGGGCATTACGCTGAATGAAATAAGCCAGTCACAAAAAATACAAATACTGTATGATTCCACCTATATGTAGTGTCTAAAGGAGTCAAATTCATAGAAACAAAAAGTAGAATGGTGGTTGCCAGGGACTAGAGGAGGGTGAAATGGGAGTTGTTTTTTATGTACCAAGTTTTGGTTTTGTAAGATGAAAACATTCTGAAGAGATGTTTCACAACAATGTGAATATACTTTGCTGAACTATACATTTAAAAATGGTTAAGGTGGTAAATTTTATTTAATTATTATTATTATTTTAAATCACAATTTAAAAAGAAAAAGGAGGCTGGGTGTAGTGGCTCATGCGTGTAATCCTAGCACTTTGGGAGGCCAAGGTGGGTAGATCTCGAGGTCAGGATTTCAAGACCAGACTGGCCAACATGGTGAAACCCCGTCTCTACTACAATATACAAAAATTAGCTGGGCATGGTAGCTCGTGCCTGTAATCCCAGCTACTTGGGAGGCTGAGGTAGGAGAATTGCTTGAACCAGGACCCGAGAGGTGGAGGTTGCAGTGAGCTGAGGTCGCACTACTGCACTCCAGCCTGGGCTACAGAGTGAGACTCCATCTCAAAACAAAGAAAAAGAAATGAAAAAGGCAGACTGTTGTTTGAGCTAGAGTGGAGAACCCCTGCCCTGTTCTGACTGAAATGTCTCTTCCCTACATATTCCCAGGGCTTCTCCCACTCAGCTGGAGCATAACCCTCATGGCATAGTTTAATGGTTAACTGATTTCCCTATTCATTTCCTTGACTAGATTGAATGTGAGCACTTTGAGGCTGTGGCTACTGGTTAACTTTGTTTGCATAAAAGCTAGTGTGGGACCTGGCATACAGTAAATGCTCAATAAAGATTTGCTAAAGGAATAATCTGATATTAAATCACAGTCTCCAATAATGAATAAACCAAGACATGATGATTATGTATGTATGTGGTAGTCTTTTAAAAAATCTCTGTCAGGTATTCCATTAATTTGTTTAATAAAATAATTTGTATTTTTTTGAACACCATAATGGCATGCTCACTTGTCCATGGGAAAATGTGAAGGCTAGAGATGGCAAGATAAAAAATAAATCTGGAAGCCATTTTATGAGGGTGACATCACTTTTCAAGTTATTACTTTCATATGTGATTTCCGTTTGTGGCTAAACATATGGATTTTTTTGCTTTTTTACAAGTATTTACTTCAGAGGCATGTGGAGAGCCTAGTTATCTGTTGAGTTTTTGTTTTTATAATTTACTTTTTTTTTTTTTTTGAGGTGGAGTCTCACTCTGTCGCCTAGGCTGGAGTGCAATACTGCAATCTCGGCTCACTGAAACCTCTGCTTCCTGGGTTCAAGTGATTCTTGTGTCTCAGCCACCCGAGTAGCATGGATTACAGGTGCCGACCATCACACTCAGCTAATTTTTAAAAATTTTTAGTAGAGATGGGGTATCACTATGTTGGCCAGGCTGGCCTTGAACTCCTGACTTCAAGTAATCCATGAGCCTCAGCCTCCCAAAGTGCTAGGAGTACAGGCATGAGCCACCGTGACCAGCCTGTTTTTATGATTTATAATTTAAAAAATTTCCTGATTCTTGAAGTCAAAGGGTTAACAGACCTTTATATGCCTTCCCACCTCTAAGCACCTAAATCCCTGTCTCTCTAACCCAAATTATGTTTCACCTGCTTATTATAAGCAGTGATATTATGAATTCCTCAAATCATTAAATTCAATTATAGTAAAATATTGCTGGTTGTAAATATGCCTCAAAGGGGCCTTGCATAGTACTTTAAACAGAAAAAAATAAAACCGTCAAAGCCTTTTTGATTTTTGCTGAGAAGTTGCTGTATACTTAGAATTGGTTTAATTTTTAAAAAACACATTAAACTTCTTACAATCTAATCTGCTATCCAAAATTCTTTTTAGTTAGGACACTCAAAATAGCTTGGACATTTGTCATATCAGGGCATGTTCCTTGGGTGCTTTTTATTATAAATAATCCATCTTTAATACTTTTCCATGTTTCATTCATTTTGCATTCACTCTTTTTTGAAATCTACTTAGTTTTTAAACTTCAGAGATAGCTGGAAGCTGCTTTAGATTATTCAAATGGTAAACCCTGAATCTATTCACCTCTTTTGTCACTGGCTATAAAGATAAATATATATATATTTAGAGATAGGGTCTTGCTCTGTCACACTGGCTGGAGTGCAGTAGTGCAATCATACCTTACTACAGCCTGCAACTCCTGGGCTCAAGCAATCCTCTTGCCTCAGCTTCCAAAGTACCTGGGACTGCAGGCACGCGCCACCACTCTTAGTGCGATGGTTAATACTGAGTGTCAACTTGGATTGAAGGATGCAAAGTGTTACTCCTGGGTGTATTTGTGAGGGTGTTGCCAAAGGAGATTAATATTTGAGTCAGTGGGCTGGGGAAGGCAGACCTACCCCTAATCTGGATGGGTACCATCTAATCAACTGCCAGTGAATATAAAGCAGGCAAAAGAATGTGAAAAGGTTACAATGGCCTCGCCTTCCAGCCTACATCTTTCTCCTATGCTGGATGCTTCCTGCACTCGAACATCAGACTCCAAGTTCTTCAATTTTGGAACTCGGACGGGCTCTTCTTGCTTCTCAGCTTGCAGATGGTTTACTATGGGACCCTGTGATTGTGAGTTAATACTTAATAAATTCTCCTTTGTGTGTGTGTGTGTGGGTATAAATATACACTAATTCTGTCCCTCTAGGGCACTCTAATATACCTAGCTAATTAATTTTTTGTTGTTGTTGTTGAGATAGGGTTTTGTTATATTGCGCAGGCTTGTCTCAAACTCTTGAGCTCAAGCAATCCTCTTGCCTCAGCCTCCTAAAGTGTTGGGATTACAGATATAAGCTACCCACCAGGCCTATAAGCATATTTTCTTATGGCCTATGCTATAAAAGGAGCCAGAACCAGAGGGCAAAATGGTGGAATGATGGGCAAATTCATTCATATTGTTTCCCTTTTACTTTGTCAATTTTAATTGTTAGAAGAAAACCACCGAGTCCCTTTCCGCAGTCACCGCTGGGAAGTGAAGACCTGAATGTGTTCAGGAAGTATGTAACATCCAAACTCGTTCTTCAAATGTCTATCTGTTATTGATCACATTATATATTAGGTCTTCCATCTTTTCTAAGTTGAAAGTGTCATCTTTATCATATACAGTAGGGGTTTGTACTATCTGTGGTTTCAGGCATCCCCTGCGGGTCTTGAAACATATGCCCTGCTGATGAGGAGGGACTACTGTTTTAAGATTTTTCTGTTTCTGGGCTCTCCATTCTGTTTCATCCATCTGTCTGTTTTACTAGCTTTAGAATGCATTTAGGATCTGGTAGGGCCACTGCTTCCTCAGTCTTCTTTTCCAAAGTTTTTTTGTTTTTGAGGTGGAGTTTTGCTCTTGTTGCCCAGGCTGGAGTGCAGTGGTGTTATCTTGGCTCACTGAAACCTCCACCTCCCAGGTTCAAGCAATTCTCCTGCCTCAGCCTCCCGAGTATCTGGGATTACAGGCATGCACCACTACACCCGGCTAATTTTGTATTTTTAGTAGAGACAGGGTTTCTCCATGTTGGTCAGGCTGGTCTCAAACTCCAGACCTCAGGTGATCAGCCCACCTTGGCCTCCCAAAGTGCTAGGATTATAGGCGTGAGCCACTGTGCCCAGCCTTCCAAAGTGAACCTTAGGGCTCTTCCAGTAACAAATTGTTCAAAAAAGATGCACAGCCAGGCCCTAAGTTAAAGAATGACCTGGTTTTGTTTCTGTTTTCTTTAGTTGGTTCTATATAGAAATATGGCTACATAAAGTAAATCCTTCACATTTCCTACATCACACCTGGGTACTTAAAATGTAATATGTAATTAAAAGCATAATTACATAAAGAGCATACCTGAGCGATTGTCTCTGGGTCCAGTGGCTTATGGTCATTGAAGCCCGTGTATTGCCCTGAAGACGTGGACCTTCTAATTGGAGGGCTGTCGTTCTTCTTGAGGGAGTCATGCCGGCTGATGTTGGTCAGGCTGCCATGGCCAGGCCTGCGCCTCCGCTCAGGACTGTCATTGTTGAGGCCACGGTTCTGTAGCAGGCCGCGGGGGTGACTGGCCAGGCTCGGGGACCCCAGGTCAACTGAGGAGTTGGAAAGGGCATGTGGAGGGTGGAGTGGGCAATGGCTATCACTGGTCCTGCCAGGACGCCTTACTGGAGGGGGTGGCTCTCCTCTTTTTCTTTGCCTAGACATTCATAGAAACAGGAAGAAAATAGAAGAGCTTATCACACTGGGCGGTCCTGCAAGGCTGAGGGTGCAGTGGTTACTCATGACCCTGAGAGGAGTGGAGGTTTAGGGGCCTGACTCCCAGGCTCCACTTACCTGGCTAAATAGCCATCAGGATGACGGTCTGTCGGGGAGTTCATGTCCTTGGATGAGGACTTGTCTTCCGTGACTGGCCCACTGCTGGCCTCACTGTCGGCTTTTTGGCTCAGAGTGTCTGAAAATGTATCATCCCTGAAACAGTAAGAATCATGAATGAGGGTCTTTTGCTAGATGAACGGAGATAAAAATTTACATGATAGCATTTGTATATGAAAGTCCTCCTTTTATTAAAATAACTTTTTTTCTTTTCATTATAAAAGCAATACAATTTCATTACAGATAAATCAGCAATTTCAGTTATATAAAAAAGAGGGAAATAATCCCCCATAATATAACATCCAGAGACAACTACTGTTAGAATTTTAAGAAATATCCTTCCCCACCTTCTATGCTATGCCTGGGATGCATATCTGTGAGTGTGCACACACATATGTACGGCATTTATACTGCAGTCACATGTTGCTTAATAACGAGGATGCATTCTGAGAAATGCATTGTCAAGCAATCTCGTCATCATGGGAACATCATAGAGTGCAGTTATGAACACCCAGATGCACACCTAGGCTATATGGTAGAGCCTATTGCTCCTAGGCTACAAACCTGCACAGCATGTTACTGTACTGAATACTACAGGCAGTTGTAACACAATTGTGTAAACAAGTATCTGTGTATCTAAACATATCTAAATATAGAAAAGGTACAGTAAAAATAGGATATTAAATCATATGGGACCCCCATCAAATACGTAGACCACTGATGCTCAAAATGTCATGGGGTGGTACATGACTGTATTGCTATTTATGCAAATTTATTTTATATAGAAATATATTTATATGTAGAAAGTTCAGATATATATCACTACATGTTGGTATATACACACATTTCATGGCTTCTGAGATACACATTTTAACATTTCTGAAATTAGGCCTTTAACTACTTTTGAAATTAGAGCTTTATCCTCAGAAAAAAAAATAAAAAAATAAAAGCATAGTGATGATCCCCTCTGACTCTAGGTCAGTGTCCTCCCTCTGGGGAATCTGGAACTGGAACGATAAACAGACATCAAGAGACGACCACTGTTGTTTTTGGAATTACCAATGTCACTTCGGCACTTAACACCATTCTCTGCACAGGTTATTTTTCTAAGAATCTGAACGCTTCAGAAGATGTCTCCCGCTAGATCTTGCTCCAAACCTCCTGGTCCTGACTTATTGTTAGCAAAGAGCCACTGGCAAGGTGAAGAACTGTGCCCAGCTCTGAAGTTTTATCTCTCTAATCCCTTCTGCTCCTTTCTCACAAGACTAAGGTCAGTTTAAGAACAATGGCTGGAGTTCTCTATTGGGATCACTCAGGCAATCAAAATTGAGACTACTCACATATCCTGCACCACTATATACTGGTGAGGCACCAGCCCGTCAATCCCGTTGTGCCTGCCTTCCCACCAGTCCTCAGATGCGCGGTGATACAGCAGCAGGGAGGCACCCTTCTTGAAAGATAGTTCTCTGGCAGACCGCCCAACATAGTCAAACTTGGCTATTGCTTCTATTGGCTCACATTCTACAAAGAACACACCAGAAAACAGTGAGAAACAGGGTTATTAGGAAGGCATGGTATCCTATCTGTGAGGGCTGTATGAGGCTTTAAATAATCAAGACCATTTTAATATCCACACTGAACAGAATCATCAACAATCATCAAGGCAGGAGAAAATAGAGGTTGTTTAAAAAGATATAGAAAAACATTCTTTTGCTGTCGTCAGTTTTGCAGGCAAAGAAAAACTGAATATTGGAGCTTCATTTCCACATCCTCTTTCTAGAGATATAATGACAGTTAAATAAGAAACACTTTAAACTTTGCAATAAGACATATAAAATCTCTCCTCGAGTTGTAATATCCTCCACAGTTGCTTCAATATGATTTTGACATTGATGGATGACATTGATGGAATGTCCTTGTAACATGAAAAAAAATCATGTCAGAATATTAGGAAGTTTATGCTTTACCAGCTTATTAAAAAAAAATCAGCTGGGCGCGGTGGCTCACGCCTGTAATCCCAGCACTTTTGGTGTCTGAGGCTGGTGGATCATGAGGTCAGGAGTTTGAGACCAGTCTGGCCAACATGGCGAAACCCCGTCTCTACTAACAATACAAAAAATTTGCTGCACATGGTGATGTGTAAACTGTAATCCTAGCTACTTGGAGGCTGAGGCAGGAGAATTGCTTGAACCTCAGAGGTTGAGGTTGCAGTGAACTGAGATTGTGCTACTGCACTCCAGCCTGAGCAACAGAGTGAGACTCTGTCTTAAAAAAAAATCAAGTAAAATCACAATACACATAGTATGTGAATATATTTAATCTCCACATATGCTCTTTGGCAGTATCAAATCTTCAAGCTAATACTTACGGTAATCCCAATTTTTTTCTCCGGTATGAGTAACAAATTTTGGATCTTAACCATGAAACAAGCATACCTTACATTGCCCTCTATCCAAGTGAAATAAACAGATTCAAAATTTTTATTTTTCTTGAGATCAAAAGATATTGGAATGATGGCGAGTGATAAAAGCCAATCTCAAAGGTTACATGCCATACAATTCCATTTATATAGCATTCTTCAAATGACCTAATTATAGAGATGGAGACTATATTAATGGCTGCCAGAGGCTGGGGTTGGGGAGGCAATAGAGGGAAGTGGCCGTGGCTATAGAGGGTGGCACAAGGGTTCCTTGTAATGGTGTTATCTTGACTATGGGTTGTAGTCACACAAAGCTATACATGTGATAAAACTGTACAGAAGTAAGTAAACACACACACAAAGATGATGGCAGATGTAAAGATGGCAAGTGGTGAAATGTACAACTGGTGAAAGGAGTGCATGTAAAACTGGTGAAACACTTATACAGTGAATGGTTTATAACATTGTCAGTTTCCTGCTTATGAAATAATATTACAGTTTTGTAAGATATCACCATTGACAGAAACTGGCAGAAGGTATACGAGATCTCTCTATATTGTTTTTTACAACAGCTTGTGAATTTATGGTGATTTCAAAATAATAAGTTAGAAAAAAAAAGATATCAAACGCTAGGCTTAGAATTGGAATTCAGCTCTGATGTAATTCTGACCACAAATATTGAAGGCAAACAGGAGGACAAACTGCTGCTTGCCTGAAAGAGGTATTTCTCTGTGATTTATCTTATTCCAAGAAGCTCTTCAATTTGAGGCCATATGATCTTTTCTCCCCTCTCCCAAAAATACCTCACCCTCAGCCCTGTAATCAACAAAGGTGAGTAAACTTCTCTTCAATAATAAACAGAACAAAAAGGGGCCAAGGCAAGGGGCATAAGCTTATAGGAATATGCCTATACAATGAACAATACATCATTTCCTAAAAACTGAGCACGTATTTGTTTCCAAACACTTTAGATGTATGTGTACACAGAAGAGATTAAAAACTGCCTATCTCAAAAATTCTCCAAGAAGCTGTCTTCTATTTCCCCTTGGTAGCCAACTTTACCACTTAAAGAGTTTCTTCTTCCCAAAGTTTATTGCAATAGCCATTGTACTTGTAATAACTGCAAGAGAAATTCTTAGACAGCTGGGCTTCTTTCTCATTCGATAAATTCAAAATTCTCAGGGACATAGAAGGCAAAAGCATAAAAACCAGCAAACATATTGAAAAGGTGACAAAATGAGACCCTGTCTCAAAAAAACAAAAAATAGCATGTCTTCATTCTTTTTTTTTTGAGACGGAGTTTTGCTGTTGTTACCCAGACTGGAATGAAATGGCACGATCTCGGCTCACCGCAACCTCCGCCTCCTGGGTTCAAGCAATTCTCCTGCCTCAGCCTTCTGAGTAGCTGGGACTACAGGCACGCATCACCATGCCCAGCCAATTTTTGTATTTTTAGTAGAGACGGGGTTTCACCTTGTTGACCAGGATGGTCTCAATCTCTTGACCTCGTGATCCACCCGCCTCAGCCTCCCAAAGTGCTGGGATTATAGGCGTGAGCCACCGCGCCCGGCCGTCTTCATTCTTTCATGGGATGTTTATTTCTTTTTCACAGGAATAACTGGGGCACATATTTGGGCATCTGTCATCTCAGGTCAACCAGAATTTATTCTTTAAGTTTTGAACTGTAATAAGCTCATTCCTTTTCAATGTAAAGTTATAGTCCCTCCTCTATGAAGTAGACACATAGATGTTTAATAAAGCTGCTATTCATGTTGTTTTCATAAAATATAATATGGGGGAATATCAGAATATTAACATATAATCTAAAAGTTATATTGAATTGTTAAAGGATTTAAACAACAGGATTATCAGACTCTTCTTATGTATTCAAATGTGGACAGGTTATGACAGCATGACCAGATAAATCAGCAGAACATTTTATTGGCAATCTTAGTACACCAACTAGAAATTCTCAGCAATTTCATTATTTTTACTCTTTCTACTCCTGTGAGAGCCATTTCACAGTCAAGTGTCAATCAATAAGCTATTTACACACATCTCAGTGTGGTCATTGCAGAGCAAATCAATCTCAGGGCACTGTAAACTATGCCTCTTTCATACAGAGAGCCTCACAGTACTTTACGGTCCTGCAGAGACTTCATAGAATGCTGCTACTGCTGCTATCAATAACAATAATAGTGAGAGTGCAACATGATCATTTAGTTTTCCTGCCTGGGTAATATAATTTTGTGCAAAAGGGAAGACAATTCAGTACAGCTGATTTCCTGACTGCCTGGTGCTGTCAGGTCTTATATTTCCATTTTTTGTAATGTTATATAAAATGTGATCATACTTTCTCTTTGGGACCTTGCTGTTGCTGACATTTTCCCTCCTAGATCTATTACCCACTGTCCTTGCAGAGAATGGTTTTGTTCTGTGACAGCCTGTCTTTCAGAAACAAAAGCTGCTCTCTCTAGCGATACTATGACAAAGAAAAAAAATAAAATACCTGGGCAATAAAAGGATAATTGATACTCTAGTTAATTCAGTTACAGGACTTTGGAGGTTGGCTGTGGGTAAGAATATCTGTTCTTTGTAAGCAATGTTTTTCTTTTCAGAAAAATCAGGTGATTTCTGCTGATTTATCTGGTAATCCTGTCATAACCTGTCCACATTTGAATAAATAAGCAGAGTCTGATACTCCTGTTGCTTGTTTCAAAAAAAATAATAAAAATGTTATCTAAACAGAGCACTCGGCAAAGCTCTCTTATAGTCAAGAGGTAAAAGGCAGATGGCATGATGGCGAGATTCATGTTTGGGAATAGAGATGGCTGGGCTTTGTCCTGGCTTTTCTGGCTACTGGGGAAAGCAGGGAAACACCTAAGAGAAGGCAGAGTGAAAAAGAAATAAATCATGCAAAGAAAGAAAGAAACTCAAAAGAAAGGGTGGTGGCAGAGGTAGGACTCAGATTTTCAAAAGCAACATCACAGGCTGGGCCTGGTTGCTCCCACCTGTAATCCCAGCACTTTGGGAGGCCAAGGAAGGAGGACTGCTTGAGGCCAGGAGTTCAAAACCCACCCTGGCCAACAGAGTAAGGCCCAGTCTTTAAAGAAAAAAAAGAAAAAGAGCAACATCACAGAAATAGAAGGCTATCTTATAACTTAAGTTCAGAAAATGTCAACTGATTTTACTTTTAAAGACACAAAGAAGGCAGGTGTGGGTTGCTCATGCCTCTAATACCAGCACTTTGGATCTCAGGAGGATCATTGGAGCTCAGGAGGATCATCTGAGCCCAGGAGTTTGAGATCAGCCTAGGCAACATAGGAAAACCCTATCTCTACAAAAAATACGAAAATTAGCTGGGCATGGTGATGCACGCCTGGGTTCCAGCTACTCAGGAGGCTGAGGTGGGAGGACTGCTTGGCCCCAGGAGGTTGAGGCTGCAGTGAGCCAAGATTGTGCTACTGTACTCCAGCCTGGGCAACAGAGTGAAACCCTGTTTCTCTCTCTCTTATACACACACAAGACACAAAAAAACTTGCTTTTTTTTTTTAGCAGATAGTGGACACTAGATACCTTAATTACCCTCCTGCTAGAATCATCCAAAAATGCTGGATTAAAAAGGAAACAACCAACCTTTGTAATTACATTAATAAGCTATCAAAACAGTAAAGAATACTAAAGACCAAAATGCAACAAACGTGGGAACCCAGAGAGGTAAGCAGAACGTTAGAACATGAGTTGGATTTTACCTTGCGGGCATTTCTCTACCCTGGTCACCTTAAGCTTTTAAAATTTTTGTCACAGGTGATTAAGTCCAGGGCTTGCTCAGTGTTAGGAATATAAGCCTCTTGCCCTCTTCAGCCCCAGAGAATTACACCCTCAGTTTCATAGTGAACTTCACTCTAGTGTTCTAAAACTTTCTTTCTTTTTTTTTTTTGAGACGGAGTTTTGCTCTTGTTACCCAGGCTGGAGTGCAATGGCGCAATCTCCACTTACCGCAACTTCCACCTCCTGGGTTCAAGCAATTCTCCTGCCTCAGCCTCCCGAGTATTTGGGACTACAGGAATGCACCACCATGTCCAGCTAATTTTTTGTATTTTTAGTAGAGATGGTGTTTCACCTTGTTGACCAGGATGGTTTTGATCTCTTGACCTTGTGATCCACCCACCTCGGCCTCCCAAAGTGCTGGGATTATAGGTGTGAGCCACTGCACCCAGCCAGCATTCTAGAACTTTCTAAAATACTTCTAGTTCTAGAACATCTAGTTCTAGAAATCTTTTCCCCTTTTAGCTTTCAATACCTCTCCATAGATGGTAACCCTCTCCCCCGCTCTCCACCCTCAGATGATTTGTGTCAAGGTTTAAGATAGATAGCAAATAATCTATCTTAAGCCTTGACACAAATCAACTGAGAATCCCGTCCACATTCCAGGTCTCAGGTAGGTTTGCAGTTTAAATTCACACTACTTGGGTGGTTTGAAAAACTTCAAGCTAAAAATTCAGTGTTGTCAGGCTGGTTGTAACCCAGGCAGAAATACATGAAAACCTTCTCTGGAAGAATCTACCTTCTACTGAGCCTAAAGTTCCAAGAAATCTATACAAAATTTACAAACACAGTGGCAAATAAGACTCAATGAGTGAGAGCCAACAAAACAAATTTGGGAAGACATATGAAAATTATCAGACACATATTCTGATAGGAAGCACTGATGAATAAACAGCAAGAGACTAGAAAAAATCATCAAGCAGCAGATATAAAAGCACACTAAATACACTTATAGAAAGAAATAATATTTAAAGGCTGGGCACTGTGGCTCACACCTATAATCCCAGCACTTTGGGAGACTGAGGTAGATAGATCACCTGAGGTTAGGCGTTTGAGACCAGCCTGGCCAACATGGTGAAACACCACCTCTACTAAAAATATCAAAACTAGCTGGGCATGGTGGGGCACACCTGTAATCCCAGCTACTTGGGAGGCTGAGGCAGGAGAATCACTTTAACCTGGGAGATGGAGGTTGCAGTGAGCTGAGATCGTGCCATCGCACTCCAGCCTGGTCAAAAAGAGCAAAACTCCATCTCAAAAAAAAAAAAAAAAGAAAAATATTTTAAAATAAAACTTTAATGAATGGATATGCTTAAAGCAGATTAGTTACAGCTGAAAAGAATTTGTGCATATAGCTGAAGAAGTACTAGAGAAAACTGACAGCTTTAAATGTTTACATTAAAAAGTAATTAAACTTAGGTTGGAAAATGAAAAAAATCTCTATAGAGAAAGAATAAAAATTTATTTGGAGATATTAACTAACTGGAAATATGTGCATGAACTGGAATATTGAATATTGTAAAGTTATCAATTCTCTCCATATTAATATGTGTAGAATTTGTGCAAGGGCAATCAAAATGCCAGTTGGGCTTTAGAGAGTTTTGTTTATCAGAAGAACTTGGAAAACTGAGTCTGAAATTTAAGTGGAATTGCAAAGGGCCAAGAATTACTACAAAGCAGACGTGTTGCTTTATGAACTATTAAGATTTATTAAAAGGTATCAAAATTTAGGACAGTGATATAGGGACAGACACATAGACCAGTAGAGAGGCCAGGAGGAAATTCAAACAAAGAAGATACTTCATTTATGACAAAGATGTAGAGCAGTGGACAAAGGACAATTAATGCTGAGATAATTGTGACAATTATGTATCCATATAAAGAAAAAGGGAATGGATCTCTACCTTACATCATAACCCCAGATAAACTGCTGGTGGAATAAAGACCTATGTGTGAAAATCAAAACCTTAAAGGATTTAAAATAATATGGGGCTGGATGCAATGTCTTATGCCTGTAATCCCAGCACTTTCGGAGGCTGAGGAGGGTGGATCACTTGAGTCAGGAGTACGAGACCAGCCTGGCCAACATGGTGAAATGCTGTCTCTACTAAAAATGCAAAAATTAGCCATGCCTGTAGTCCCTGCTACTCGGGAGGCTGAGGCAGGAGAATCGCTTGAAGCCATGAGGTGGAGGTTGCAGTGAGCCAAGATCATGCCACTATATCCCACAGACAGACTCCATCTCAAATAAATAAGTAAGTAAGTAAGTAAAATAAAAGAATATGGCACCAAAGAAGACCTACAAATTGCACCCAGCCTGATAAGTAAATAATACATGAATGAATGAATGAAAAGAATACAGCACCAAAAAAGACATCCAGCCAACAGGTATATTTAAAAATGCTGAACATCACTAATCATCAGGAGAATGCAAATCAAAACCAAAAATGAGGTTATTCCACCATGTTAGGAAATAAACAAAACAAAAGATAACAAGTGCTGGTTGGACGCAGTGGCTCATGCCTATAATCTCAGCACTTTGTGAGGCCAAGGCAGGTAAATGGCTTGAGCTCAGGAGTTCAAGACCAGCCTGGGGAACATGGCAAAACCCCACCTCTACAAAAAATTAGCTGGGCATGGTAAAATGTGCCTCTAGTCCCAGCTACTTGGGAGGCTGAGGTGGGAGGATCACTGGATCCTGGGAAGTCAAGGCTGCAGTGAGCCAAGATCATGCCACTGCACTCCAGCCTGGGTGACAGAATGAGACCCTGTCTCAAAAACAAAAAAACAAAAATTAAAAAAAAGATAAGGATTACCAAGGGTGTGGAGAAACTGAAACCTTTGTACACTGCTGGTGGGAATGCAAAATGGCACAGCTGCTTTAGAAAATGGTATAGAGATTCCTCAAACACTTAAAAATACAACTACCATGTGACACAACTATCCCACTTCTGGGTATTTATCCAAAATAACTGAAATTGGGATCTTCAAGAGATATTAACACTCCTATGCTCATTTGAGCACTATTCACAATAGTCAAGATGTAGAAACGATCTAAATGACCATGGACAGATGAATGGATAAAGAAAATATGTATAAATACAATGGCATACTATTCAGATTATAACAAGAAGGACATCCTGACATATGTAACAGCATGGATGAACCTGGAGGACGTTTTGCTAAGTGAAATAAGCCAGACACAGAAAGACAAATACTACATAAGTTCACTTATAATGAGTTATCTAAAAGAGCTAAATTCATAGAACCAAAGGGTGGAATGGTGGTTGCCAGAGGCTCGGGGGAGAGGGAAATGGGAAGTTACTAACAAGTGGGAATAAAATTTCGGTCAAGCAAGGTGAACAAGCTATAGAGACCTGCTGTATGACACTGTACCTATGGTCAACATGAAGGTACTCTACACTTAAGTGTTTTTACCAAAATAAAATAAAAGAATATGAGAGAATTAGGTACTGTACACTTAAGTGTTCTTACCAAAATAAATAAAGAGAATATGGGAGAATTATTTATCATTACCTCAAGACACAGAAGGATTTCTTAAAGGAGATGCTAAGTAAAATAATCATGAAGGAAAAGATTGGAAAATGTAACTACTTTAAGATCTTCTGTTTAGCAAAAGACATAATAAGCATTTGAAAAGCAAAGCTACAGTGTAGGGGAAGATATCTGCAAAGCATATACCCAATAAAGGACCTGATATAGACCCACAAAGAACTCTTACAAATCAAATAATAAAAAAACAACTAAAACCAAACCAAGTGAACCAAATATAAAGAGCCCAGAGAACTCAATAGAAAAATGGGCGGAAGACTTGATAGGAATTTCACAAAAGATACATAAACACATTATTAACCATGTCTTTTATATTTTGTATTCTGACATCTGGGGCCTTTCTGACCTTGGGGGGACAGTCTCTTTAGGGTTAGCCAATTTCTGGAGATAGTAAACAACTCACCCACGAGCAAGCTTTTTAAACACCAACCTGCCAGTTGGAGCCAACACCCCACCACCCTGATGATCAGGCTCTCCCACTCCAGGCCACTGTTGCCCTGTTCTCAGCACCCCAGGGCCAGGTACCAGACAACTTGGAACAGCTCCTAATGTCCCACAGCCTGCTGAAATTACTCCTACTAGCCAACCGTAAAGCTGCTTACCTTGCCATACCCATTCCTTCCTGTGGAAAGCACACCAAGGTCTTCACTTTCCCTCTGCTTCCCGACAGACCTGGTGCTTCCCCAGGTGGCTGCCCATGGCGTGGCATCCCCACGTCTCTCAGGAGCTCTAAGGAGCAACTGTCTTCATAAAAATGGTTTGACAGTGTAAAGCTGAAGACACAGTTACTCCTAGGCATACGTCCTAGAGAAACTCCTGTACATTTTCAGTAGGAGACATGTTCAAAATGTTCATAACAGTGCATAGTAGCACTGTTCTTAACAGCAATGAGTAGAAAATACCTCATATATTCATCAAAATGAGATAGATACATACAATGGAATATTATAAAGTGGTAAAATAATTCAAACTGCATGCAACTGTACAGATGAACATCAGGAACATAATACTGAGTAGAAGAAAACTCACAAAAAATAGATACAGTATAATCCCATTTATAAAAGGTTTAAGAAAACAGAAAAGGAAAGAAGAAACTGTTTAAAAACACAAACATAGTGGTTATTCCTGAGGGGTAAGGCAGTCAGATCAGGGACGTGCAAAGGAAATAATATGTCTTTTTTCTTAAGCTTGGTGGTGGTTCCACTGGTTTTCATTGTAAAGTTATTTTTTATACCTTACACATACTTTATAAATGCTTTTGTATCTACTAGTTGTTGGTTTTTTTTTTTTTTTTTGACGGAGTCTATTCTGTTGCTCAGGCTGGAGTGCAGTGTTGCTATCCTAGTTCACTATAGCCTCACACTCCTGGGCTCATACAATCCTCCCACCTCACTCTCCTGCATAGCTGAGACTACAGGTGCATATCACCATGCCTGGCTAATTTTTTTTGTAGAGATGGGCTCTCACTATGTTGCACAGGTTGGTGCTGAACTCCTGGGCTCAAGTGATCCTCCCACCTTGGCCTGCCAAAGTGCTGGGATTATAGGTGGGAGCCACTGTGCTTTGCCTCTAAAATTTTAATACAAGCAATTGTTTACAATGGGGATATAAAGACTGGTTTTTTAATAGCATAAGGGCGGGGCATACCATCTTCGCTTGTGTGGGGCTCTGTACCAGCATCTTGGTCCACTTCCTCCAATGTACCGTGCTCACTGTATGGGCTGTCGCTGTAAAATACAAATGGAAATTCATATGAAATTAAAACAGACAAAAATTTTTTGAGACAGGGTCTTGTAATGCTGCCTAGGCTGGAGTGTAGCAATGCGATCTTGGCTCACTGCAACCTCTGCCTCCCAGACTCAAGTGATCCTCCCACCTCAGCCTCTCAAGTAGTTGGGACGATAGGTGTGCACCCCACACCTGGCTAATTTTTAAATTTTTTGTAAAGATGAGGGTCTCATTATTTTGCCTGGGCTGGTCTCAAACTCCTGGGCTTAAGCGATCCTCCTGCTTCAGCCTCCCAAAGTGCTAGGATTACAGGCATGAGCCACCATGCCTGGCCAGAGAGAAATTTAATAATGAACCATTGCTACTATAATGAAAACTGTAAGACTCTATAAGGGCAAAAGAGTTATTGGATAGTCTGTCAATGGAATCCCGGTGTCTCCATTGATTATGTTGTCCTATGGGAGTATATATTATATCCATGCATTCATCTTTGACTAGGTTATTTTACAACCCTATAAAGACGAGTTCACTTGTAGAAAATGGATAGCTTTGTAAGTAATTCTTATCCATAGAAATACAAATTACAAATTTTGGCAGAATATGATTATTGCCCTATGGATAGACCAGTTTTTGCAAATTCATTTTGCTATTCCTTTACTACGCAGAAACTGGTGGTTGAAATATACAATACATTATTGTTATTGATGTCTCCTTTGAACTGGTTGTGGGATATTTACCATCTTTTCTTGACACATGCTCATTGTATATGTGTATGAGAATCACAAGTTTATCCTCTTTTCAAACTTATCCCTTAACACTGTCACTACCTCTCCTCAAATGCGTGCTGATAAATGGAATACATGGGCCACAAATATAAACCTAATATTACTGTAAAAGCCCATTTACATTTCTGATGTAATGTTGGGGGACAAGTATAACTACTACACTATTGACTTTCTGTTTAAAATGAGCAATACCCACAGAAAACACCAGTTTAGAAAGATGGACACAGTCAAGCACACGTTACTGGCTGCAAGATTATCACAGGAACCTACACTCTGGCATCACAAAATGTCCCAGAATATAATACATCAAATAATATTGACCAGTCGTCTACAAACTTGCTCTTTTTATAAAATGAACAAGACAGCAGAGCTTACTGACATAGCCCTAATATTTAAAAATGCTAACTAGGCCAGGCACAGTGGCTCACGCCTATAATCCCAGCACTTTGGGAGGCTAAGGTGGGCAGATCACCTGAGGTCAGGAGCTGGAGACCAGCCTGGCCAACATGGTGAAACCGTCTCCACTAAAAATACAATAATTAGCTGGGCGTGGTGGTGGACGCCTGTAATTCCAGCTACCTGGGAGCCTGAGGCAGGAGAATTGCTTGAACCCGGTAGGCAGACGTTGCAGTGTGTAGAGATTGCACTGTGGTGTTCCAGCCTGGTGACAGAGCGATACTCCATCTAAAAAAAAAAGCTAACCATACCTTTGGCACTGGCTTTAAAATAAATACAACGAAGAAAATAAAATTACGTATCTCAGCAGGGTTAAGTTGAATTCATTTACCTTCCCAGAGCCAAGCTGTTAGTATCTTGCCCATAGTAATTACTCAAGTAAATATTTTGAATTGAACTTCATGGTAAAGTTGGTGAATATACTACAGAACTGGAATCTAGTATGTTTCATTCTTAATTCAGAAAACAGTACTTCTGGAAATGGTCAACTCAGTTTTCTTTTTTTTTTTGAGACCGAGTTTTGCTCTTGTTACCCAGGCTGGAGTGCAATGGCGCGTCTCAGCTCATGGCAACCTCTGCCTCCTGGGTTCAGGCAATTCTCCTGCCTCAGCCTCCCGAGTAGCTGGGATTACAGGTACGCGCCACCATGCCCAGCTAAGTTTTTTGTATTTTTAGTAGAGACGGGGTTTCACCATGTTGACCAGGTTGGTCTCGACCTCTTGACCTCGTGATCCACCCACCTCGGCCTCCCAAAGTGCTGGGATTACAGGCGTGAGCCACCGTGCCCGGCCCCAACTCAGTTTTCTTAAGGCATATGACCATACTATGATTCAAGTTAAAAAAAAAAAGTACTTTCAGTTATTTAATTATCTTTCAGTGACTCATTCCACTTCTCCTTTATCTTTGGTAAGAAAATGGGAAAGAAAGGCCAGGTACAGTGGCACATGCCTGTAATCCCAGCATTTTGGGAGGCTGAGGTGGGTGGATCACCTGAGGTCAGGAGTTTGAGACCAGCCTAGCCAACGTGGTGAAACCCCGTCTCGATTAAAAATACAAAAATTAGCTGGGTGTGGTGGGGGGCACCTGTAATCCCAGTTACTTGGGGGAGGTGGGAAAGTGTTGTGAGCAGGGTCCAGAACAAGGGATTTAGACAAACCCATTTCCACCTGCTCTTGAATCCTAGTTGCACAGGGCAGTTTCTGAGGTGGGCAGGGAGGCTGCTGAGTGGGAAGACTCACGTGTGCTTTGGAATCACACACACCTAACTTTGATTTACTACTAATCACTGGACAGGCTCTTTGGCCTTTCTTAACTTACTTGGTACAGTGGTCATGATAAATAAAAGAGAACATGTGCACCAAGCAGCTGACATGTAATAGAGGTTCAAGAAATTGAAGTTTCTTTCTTTGCTGTTTTTTAATTGATATATAATAGTTGTACATATTTGAGGGGTACGTGTGATATTTCGATACCCATATACAATGTGTAATGATCAAATCTGGGTAACTGGGATATCCATCACCTCACACATTTATTTTTTCTTCATGTTGGGAAACTTACAATTCTTCTGTTTTAATTATAATACATTATTGTTAGCTACAATTTTTCTACTGTACTGAATACTAAACTTATTCTAATTCTTTTTATTTTTTTGAGACAGAGTCTTGCTCTGCTGCCCAGGCTGGAGTGCAGTGGCATGATCTCAGCTCATTGCAATCTCCGCCTCCCAGGTTCAAGCTATTCCCCTGATTCAGCCTCCAGAGTAGTTGGGACTATAGGCCCACACCACCATGTCCAGTTAATTTTTGTATTTTTATTAGAGATGAGGTTTCACCATGTTGGCCAGGCTCGTCTCGAACTCCTGACCTCAAGTGATCTGCCTGCCTCGGCCTCCCGAAGTGCTGGGATTATGGGCATGAGCCACTGTACCCAGTCTTTTTTTTTTTTCTTTTTTTAAGAGACAGGATCTTGTTTTCTTCCTCAGCCTGGAATGCAGTGGTGTGATCAGACCTTGCTGCAGCCTCAAACTCCTAGGATCAAATGATTTTCCAGCCTCAGCTTCCGAAGTATCTGGGCCTACAGGTACAAGCCACTGTACCCAACTTATTCCCTATCTGTATTTTCATAGCCCTTAACCAACGTCTCTTCATCCCCTCCATTCCCCTTCCCTTCCTATCCTCTGGTAATCACCATTCTATTCTCTACCTCTATGAGATCCACTTATTTTTGCTCCACATATGAGTATGAACATGTGATATTTGTCCTTCTTGCGTGGCTTATTTCACTTAACATAATGACCTTCACTGCTAGGTATATATCCAAAAGAAAAAAAATCAGTATATTCAAGAGATATCTGCATTCCCATATTTATTGCAGCATTTGTCACAATAGCTAAGATGTGAAAACAACCAAGTGTATATCAGTGAATGCATGGATTAAATAAATTATGGTAGTACTACACAATGGAATATTATTCAGCCACAAAAAAGAATGAGCTCCTGTCATTTGTAGCAACATGGATGGAATGGGAGGCAATACTACCATGCTAAAAATTTTTATCCCAACAATGTATATATATCACAACAATATAATAAACTTGCTCAAAATGACCTTTACTATTATAGTTAGAATTATATTCATTAGTAAGAGAGAAAATGAAAATAAATTAAGAATGAAAATACATTTGGTTGACAGGGCTCCTTTAAAATGAGAATTTAAAAATACTTTATGTGAAATAAAAAACTTTAATTTAGACTGAAAAATAAAATGTCAATTCAATCTGTTATCTTTTCTTGGTTTAATGTAATGGTTTAACGTAGTGAGAAAGGGTATATAACATCAAAACCCTTTTTCTTTAAAAAAAAAACCAAGATAGGGTCGATTTATCTAAAAGATATAGTCCTTTGAGAAAATAGAGGGATAAATAGGAGTTTCCATGGGTCTTAGTATTTTAAAATTTATCTCAAGTGTCTGCTTCTTCCTTTTCTTTGAAGTTGGAAGCATTGGTAGCTTATGGGAAACTCTCTCTTAATTAAATTGATGGCTACATTTCCATAATTTTTGGTGGGAGAGGAGGACTAAAACTCTTAGACTTACCAGTAGTCATCTCCAGCCATACATTTCTCATAAACAGGGCCATCCAGCTCTTTAGCATCTGGGAAAATAGTCTCATGATGTATGATGATGGTTTTGATAATTTCATTCACATGTGCCTGGCAAGACACTTGATCCTGTACTTCTGGGACAGGCATCAATGTTGGGCCAAAGCAAATGGCCAGGTTATAAGGGTCCATCATATTCTCATCGCTGTACTGTGATAGACTACAAAAGGAAACAAGAAAGGAGTTATAAAAGAACAAAGAAAAAAAGGATATAAATGTTTAATAATAAGCTTCTTCAACTTTAAGTTGGCTCAGCAAACTCCAAAGAAAGTGAAATGACTTAAGATCTTAACTAAGTAGAAATTGAGAGGGGACTCTAAATCCTATTTGCTTACTTAAGTAGCATTTTTCAAAATCAGGAGGGGGTTTAATACAATATTCACTACAGTGGAGACCAGGATCACGTAAATGAGTTTTATTTGTAAATGTGATGGTCAGGCTCTAAATGCTCCTCAAGTAAATTTGGGATACAGAGTAAGGATTTCCATCAAGCTTTATGGATGTCTTTAAAATGGTTCTCCCTCCACTCAAATATATCTCAGATTGTTAGTTTTCTCCTATAAATCTTGGGGAAAGCCTAGAAGAGAAAAAAGAACCTTTTCTTTGTAACTACTAATAGGAGCAAATAACTCCAGGCTTTATAATTTGCTTTTGTGTCAGAAAATCAACAGTAGATGACAACCAGTGTCACAAAAGCCATTATAAATACATGAAAAGGGGAAAGGAATCCTCAATTCTCATTCCATGCAAAGGTTCGAAACTGTCGGGGAGATTTCCAATTGTCTAGTACCAATTTCTACATTCTACTCAACAGGTATTTGTGAAATATTTTCACAGTGACACAAAATAAGCCAGCTCTTTATTGCTGTGGTCCCTGTTCTAGGGAGAATTTAGATATGTTATCTTTCAGTGTGTAGAATGTCAGTCTTGAAAGGAAATGTAAAATCCAGCTGAACATATGACAAATGGAAGGAGAAAAAGGAGCCTCAGTAACCTTTGTGAGATGATGACAGACACAGAAATTGAGATACCATATGACATGATACTTTACCATTTTTTTGGAAATAAGATAGTCTAGACAGTAGAAAATACAAAAGCATAATTTCCAGAGCTAATATGTCTTTCCCTTCTGCTATTTCTCAAACATACAATATTTCTAAAAAAAATCACAATAATAGTAAATGATCATGTTTCAGATCATCCTGAAAACAAATGAATCTTGAAAGTGGAGATTCCGAATAAGAACGGCCTAATTTCCAAAAGACATACTTCAGCTCAGTGGAGAGAGTCACGGTTAATCTTTCTGAATCGTTAGTGCTGACTTGCAAACAAAAACTTGATGTAGAAATGTTATTTCCAGGTTTTGATTTTGCAGCAAAAAATTATAGTGAATCTCTCTTTTCATAATCCGCATCCCAAGCATCCTGCCCTAGAGGTTGGGCCCTTTTGTCTGCATGAAGGCAGGTGCAACCAGCCAGGGGGCCTCTGGGCAGAACCACTGGAAGCAATGCCGGCAATGCCCATGGTGCATTTACCAGGCATGATGAGTTAGGTTCAGGTTTTAGAACTTTCTTAATTAACAGACTGCTTTCCTAGTCCATTACAAATTATTAGTTCACAGTGAATTTTGTTCGGGTGTGTTAGGACGATTTGGTAGAAATGGTATAGAGACAGCCAACAGGAAGGCAAGGTACTCCATCCTGGGGGACGGTGGTGGTGGTGTGGGCGACAAGCAAGCCTCTGGATTTTTAAAACTGCCTGGGTGACTGTGTTTATTTAAAGGTAAAAATGTACAGAGTCTAGCTGAAACATAGTTTAAACCCATCTCTCTAGATACTGCTTATTTCCAGTGGTGATTAATGTACAAATGGGTTCCTACGGTCATTTGTGAATATTTTAGGCACCACAGGTCAGCAGTAGAGTCTCGTTCTGTATGGTTCTCTGCCAACATTTCCCTATTGTATACTTGGCTCTTGGGGTCAAGCTGAGTGGGTATGTTTCAGGACTAGTCTGTGGGATTGTAATAAATCACCACGGCTTTTGAGAACTCCAAATGTCCCATGTAATAGAGAAAAGAAAATACCCGTATTTTAGGAAAGGAAAATCCATGCTAGCAAGAGAAGGCATTTCCCCAAGTTTATTCAATAAATTGATTCCCCCTGCATTTCTTTATTTCCAACTGCTTAACTGAAATGTTACAGCAAGGGGACTCTTAGATGGGACGTGGGGAGGCTGTTCTTATAACAGAACCCAAACAGCAGGAAGTAGCGTGGCTGAAATTAAAAGAATACAGTTCTTTGAAAATAATGTAGTAATTTAAAAGATTTGTTACTTTGTTTAAGAGAACGTTTTGAAGTATTTTTTTCTTGATAAGGTCTCATTACAGTGAATTTGCAGAAATTCTTTTTTGGATCTGTGTACAATTCCCATCCCCGATTGTCTTCCATCCCCAACTACAACATTAAACACAAAAATTTTCCACAATGAACAGCCAATTTACATCATTTTGACAAAAACATTCATGACAGTTTTGGATGGAAGCTGGAAAAACACTGAATAACACTTTCTATTTAAAAGTGTTTTTTTTTTTTTTTTTAGTAATATTTAAATATTTTTGCATTTGTGGTCACAGTTTCTACATCTAGGGTAGGGCTTTCATCTATCGATGACCTTGATTTGCTGGAAAAATGTACCTTCACAGTCTATATTCAATCATTTTTCTCTTTGACTCTACTGATAAATGGAACCCGATGTACACTTTACAGGATCCAAGAATAAAGACAGAATTCAGATGGGTCTTTTGTCAGAGCATTCAGGTACTTACTGATTGAGGAAGGCAAAGAGGTACCTCATCACTATAAGGATGGACCTGGGCAAAGTCAGGAGGAGTTTGCGGATGTGAAGCGCCCTCTCATAGAGATTATCTATTCCTACAGATAGAAGACGACATGGTCAGAGTCCTTTCACTTGCCACATTTAAAGCAGAACATTGCAGTACATGTATTACTGGTACACATCTGAATATAAGCAACACCTTGCTCTTGTGTGAGATGCAATTGTAACCAAAACAGTGAATAAATGATCAGCTTGGGTATACCACCATTTCAGAGGGCATTTCCTCTGACACTCACCATTTTCTCTGATTTTCATGGACTTGGCTTTGAGTAATTTAGAGTCTTCTAGATTTAAAAACTATTTTTTTCCTTTGCTGCTAATTCTAAGTTTTGCACTGGATATGATTTCAACTCCTCTTGCTACAGGCTAACCAAAGTAGCTTTCTGGGGCATGGCACCCCTCCTCCAACCATTATGCATTAATTCATCATATATTTGTCTATTACTATGATCCAGGCAATGTGCCAGGTTTAGAATCTCTCTCACAATTGCCACTGCATTTTGCTTATATGACTTTTTATCTTGTATTATACTATCCCATCAATATTAGGAGAGCCTACCAGGTTTCAATCACTAAGAATATGTTAGCAATACAATTTCTGCCTTTACACGATGTATACCCTGATGTATATCCTGTCTTCCCTGTAGGATGGTGAGCTCCCTCAAGAAAGGATTACACCGTGTTATGCTACCTCTTCACCAGGAATACAAAGTATCCAAAGCATCTCAATACTAACGAGCTTGTGAACATCAGCAAAAAAGGCTACTACTACAATACATTATTTGTATACTTCTCTATATATTTTAAAACACATTTTCACATTTGCTATCTAACTCAAAGGGAACAATAAACTTTGCAGTAGGCAGGGCACACACTGTCATCCCCATTTATCAGATTAGGAAAATGAGAACTGGGCAAGCGGCTTACCCAAGGCTGACAGGCTAGAAGGGGTACAGCTGGGACTACAACCTGTTTCCTGTTTCATAAGTCTGGTTTCATAAGTCTATTTTCAGTTTCATAAGTCTGGTTGCCTTTGTTGGATCCAAAGACTACAACTTTGTAAAGCTGTACCTTTACAAAATACAACTTTGAAGATACCCAATAAGCATACATTTGAAAAAACATTTCCAAAAAAGTAGTAAGTTTGAAAACATTTCTGAAGCTTCCTATACTTTTATATCACTATATTGTTCTTAATTGCTCTTGAGATACTCATGTATCCCACTTGAAAATTCTCAGTCCACAGCTTCTGACACCACAGTCAAATCATTCTCCTCAGTATTCCTGCTGTTTTTAAAGCCTTCCACCCATAAATGTGGATAACTCTCAGATTTCTACCTGGTTCTCCTCAATGACAACCTCATCCAGTTTCAAGGTTACAAATACCACTTTTAAGATGGTATTTTTGCTTCATTTTTCTCCCTTGAATGGGAAAGAAGTCCTGTAGTTTCCACTTCTAGATATCTCACTGCTTATTTTCTAATTATTATTAGAAGTCTTTATTATTTCTAACTTAGACCATCAAAATACTCTTCTAACTCAGTTTCCCTTTCTGATTCCTTTTATATCAGTGGTTCTCAACCTTGACTTGGATTCACTTGGGGAAATTAAAAATGCTGATGCCTGGGATTCTTTTATGCAGCCAGGGTTGAGAATCACTGTCTTAATTACTTATTCTAAGCTCATTTCCCTGGAATCTTAAGTGCTGACCCCAGCTGTTTTCCACTTATTATCAAACTGGGCATTTTACTTCCCCTTTTGCATAGCTGAAAAGGTGTGAAAAATCTATTAGGAATATTCTTGATTAACCACAGAAGAGTTGTCAAAACAAGCAATAATGTATCAGGATTCCTTGGTGGCGGGGGTGGGGGAAACACTTCCATTCCCCCGTTTAAGTATGCCAAAGTTGGAACTGTAGCTTTGTCATTTTTTAGCAAATGCAATTTCAAAAACTCTTGAACCAGAATGTAAGTAAAACATTATTATGCAATTGACATTCTTGTAACATTCTTATTCTTTCAATATAAACCTATAATTTATAATAGTGTGACCTTTTTATTTGTAAAATATTTCAAAATGGAAAAATATAATGCTATGAACAAGGCAAATTAGGGTTGCATCCATTGCATACAAGCATTTTGCTTAACATACTTTCCAGGTAATGGTCTTGATTTTTTCCCCCCTGAAAAGAGGGAATAAGACACTCAAAAAAGAAGTTACTCAACAGGTGTATAAATTCTCTCAGGCCACAGTAACTCAATACTTAGGTTATCAACATTCCCACCCAATTCAGTCCTAGTAGGATCAAGACATGTCCTAAAGTAAGCTATTTATCTCCATGACAACATCAGGTGATATGTGCAAAACTACGTTGTACAGAGAGGGAAGATGAAATGCCTACAGATGAAGCAATTTGCAAGTTACTGAGAATTTAATGGGGGGAATTTTGTACTGTTAAATACTATTTAGACACAGCTGCATTATTCTCTCATATTAGAAATTAACTGGTTGAATGTTTATGTAAAATATCTGATTTTAGAAAAAGTGTAATGTTGCTGCTTTAAGTTAAAGAAGACAAAGATGATGTAGCATCCCTGTAACTAAAAAGTCTATCTCTAAATATGAAAAAGAAAAAAACCCTTCAAAAGTGAAATTACACATATTATAATTTATTCTTAAGACAACAACAAAACTTCTCCCACTGTTTATTGAGGATCTTGGGTGTTTCAAAAGTGAAGTTTCCTAATTCTCCAATCAAATCCTCATTTAATTTTTAAATTATTATTATTTTCTTTTTTTTAATTGCATTTTAGGTTTTGGGGTACATGTGCAGAACATGCAAGACAGTTGCATAGGTACACACATGGCAGTGTGTTTTGCTGCCTTCCTCCCCTTCACCCACATTTGGCATTTCTCCCCAGGCTATCCCTCCCCAGCTCCCCACTCCCGCTGTCCCTCCCCTATTCCCCCCAATAGACCCCAGTGTTTAGTACTCCCCTCCCTGTGTCCATGTGTTCTCATTTTTCATCACCCGCCTATGAGTGAGAATATGTGGTATTTCATTTTCTGTTCTTGTCAGTTGGCTGAGAATGATGTTCTCCAGATTCATCCACGTCCCTACAAATGACATGAACTCATCATTTTTGATTGCTGCATAATATTCCATGGTGTATATGTGCCACATTTTCCCAATCCAGCCTATCATCGATGGGCATTTGGGTTGGTTCCAGGTCTTTGCTATTGTAAACAGTGCTGCAATGAACATTCGTGTGCATGTGTCCTTATAGTAGAACGATTTATAGTCCTTTGGATATATATCCAGTAATGGGATTGCTGGGTCAAATGGAATTTCTATTCCTAAGGCCTTGAGGAATTGCCACACTGTCTTCCACAATGGTTGGACTAATTGACACTCCCACCAACAGTGTAAAAGTGGTCCTATTTCTCCACATCCTCTCCAGCTTCTGTTGTCTCCAGATTTTTTAATGATTGCCATTCTAACTGGCGAAAGATGGTATCTCAATGTGGTTTTGATTTGCATCTCTCTAATGACCAGTGATGATGAGCATTTTTTCATGTTTGTTGGCCTCATGTATGTCTTCTTTTATAAAGTGTCTGTTCATATCCTTTGCCCAATTTTGAATGGGCTTGTTTGTTTTTTTTCCTGTAAATCTGTTTGAGTTCTTTGTAAATTCTGGATATCAGCCCTTTGTCAGATGGGTAAACAGCAAAAACTTTTTCCCATTCTGTTGGTTGCCAATTCACTCTAGTGACTGTTTCTTTTGCGGTGCAGAAGCTGTGAAGTTTGATTAGGTCTCATTTGTCTATTTTGGCTTTTGTTCCCAATGCTTTTGGTGTTTTGGTCATGAAGTCCTTGCCTACTCCTATGTCCTGAATAGTTTTGCCTAGATTTTCTTCTAGGGTTTTTATGGTGCCAGGTCTTATGTACACGTCTTTAATCCATCTGGAGTTAATTTTAGTGTGAGGTATCAGGAAGGGGTACAGTTTCTGCTTTCTGCACATGGCTAGCCAGTTTTCCCAACACCATTTATTAAACAGGGAATTTTTTCCCCATTGTTTGTTTTTGTCAGGTTTATCAAAGATTGTATAGTTGTAGATATGTTGTGTTGCCTCCGGTGCCTCTGTTTTGTTCCATTGGTCTATATCTCTGTTTTGGTACGAGTACCATGCTGTTTTGATTACTGTAGCCTTGTAGTATAGTTTGAAATCCGGTAGTGTGATGCCCCCCGCTGTGTTCTTTTTGCTTAGAATTGACTTGGCTATGCGGGCTCTCTTTTGGTTCCATATGAAGTTCATGGTGGTTTTTTTTCAGTTCTGTGAAGAAAGTCAATGGTAGCTTGATGGGGATAGCGCTGATTCTGTAAATTACTTTGGGCAGTATAGCCATTTTCATGGTATTAATTCTTCCTAACCATGAACATGGAATGTTTCTCCATCTGTTTGTGTCCTCTCTGATTTCATTGAGCAGTGGTTTGTAGTTCTCCTTGAAGAGGTCTCTTACGTTCCTTGTGAGTTGTATTCCAAGGTATTTTATTCTTTTTGTAGCAATTGCGAATGGCAGTTCGTTCTTGATTTGGCTTTCTTTAAGTCTGTTATTGGTGTAGATGAATGCTTGTGATTTTTGCACATTGATTTTATATCCTGAGACTTTGCTGAAGTTGCTTATCAGTTTCAGGAGTTTTTGGGCTGAGGCAATGAGGTCTTCTAGGTATACTATCATGTCGTCTGCAAATAGAGACAATTTGGCTTCCGCCTTTCCTATTTGAATACCCTTTATTTCTTTTTCTTGCCTGATTGCTCTGGCTAGAACTTCCAGTACTATATTGAATAGGAGTGGTGAAAGAGGGCATCCTTGTCTAGTGCCAGATTTCAAAGGGAATGCTTCCAGTTTTTGCCCATTCAAAATAATATTGGCTGTTGGTTTGTCATAAATAGCTTTTATTACTTTGAGATACATTCCATTGACACCGAGTTTATTGAGAGTTTTTAGCATAAAGGGCCGTTGAATTTTGTC